CATACTGTTATTGAAATAATAACTGTTTATTCTGCTTAGAGACATTTTCGTATAATTTTTCAATCAAATTTTCGTGGAAGGCTTTGCAATGGTTTTCAGTAGTAGTGCGTTATGCCAGTCTGTAAAATGTTTTTTTTTTCATTTGTGTATGTGTGTGCGAAATCCTTTATAATCGACTGAAGATTATTTTTGAACGTTTTCAATTTTACATTCTTGTTATTGAATTGAAAAAGATATGAACACAAATACGGAATAAGCTTTGTGGTTAGTAAACCTAATGACGAGCAAGGATAACAACACTAAAGGAAGCCATCTTTCCCGAATCATTTTCACTTTCCTGCTGTACATCTCAAGATCGTTGACAAAATCCAAAGAAGGATCTGCAATGTAATAGATCCTGACCAGGCATCTCGACACCAGTCACTTTCTCACCGATGTGACGTAGCTTCCCTCTGTCTTTTCTACAAATATTTTTATATGGCATCTGCTCTAAAGAGCTTTCTTTCCCACTGCCTCGAATACATGAATTTAAGATTGGCATCTAGGCCCCATCCTTTTAATGTTTAAATAGCTAAATTTCTTTTCTGGAATTTCCCACCAATGGAACTCCCTTCTGGTTACTTGCTTCCCAGATAGCTACAATCTTAATAAATTTAAATGCAACGTCAATCGCCATTTTCTGTCTTTTTGAATCTCATTCATCTTTTGTCCTTTTCTCAGTCGTACCTATTCTCAGTTTTCCCTTTCATCTTCACTCTCTGTGTACTAGAGGCATTCCCGCCTTACTGAGGATGAAATGATTAAAAAAAAAAAAATTCCTTAATCGTGTTTATTGTTTTGATGTCAAATAGGAAGCGTCGTTATTGTTCCCCGGATGTTTGCTTTTCCCGACTCGCATTTTTAATTATTCCGCTAGAGAAAGGCATGATTTCAAATTGATCTAACTATAGGCTTGAAATCGCGGTTTAGTGCAAAATATTTGCGTATTATATTCCTTTTCTTTCAGTCTTACTTCCCGAAGGAAAAACACGGATAAAACTGGGTTTATTTTCCCCAACGGCAAAGCATTACGAAACATTTCGAATCAGACGCGTTTTTCACCTGTTGTTTGTCGGTCGCCCTTTCGATGTTATCTGATTTGCACTCTCCTTCATAAAACATAGATATATTCCCAAATAAAATGGTGGATCAATTGGAAATTAGATCTGAAATTTTCATTATAAATACTTTTTACATGTGGACTATTACCCTAAGTTTTGTTGTTGCTGTTGTCACAATGTTTCAGCCGTTGTGTCCTATGGCCTTCATCAGGATAACCTGCAACAAATAAATTGATAGATTTAGAATAATACAATTATTTTGATAGATCAAAAATGCAACTGTTTTGATAGACTAGCAGTATAACCCGTCTTCGACCAGGTATTTCATTACTGGGAATTTTTGCCGTTCAATTGGAGCAGTTTATTAGTAACAACAATTGGGTGCAAATGAGGTACATCCCCAAATGAGGGGGTGGGGAGTTAACAATTTGAATGGTGGGAGGGTGTTGTCCTTGAAAAGGGCCGTTTTTTTCATTAGCAATCTTATAAAGAAGGAACCTCTTCCATGGATCGTCATAATAATAATATAAGATAATATTTATGTATTATATTATATTTTTTATATAATTCTAATAATCTTTGGCGTTAGATTTCATCTCTCTAAATTGATTGTACGCTGTTTCTTTTACAAAAAAAAAAAAAAAGAAAATCAAATCCAAAATTAAATTTTGCCTTTGATTTTTGTGCAAAGTGTAAAAAAAAATCAGTTTTTTCGATTTCTCACCTTCAAGGTTGTAATTTTTTCCAGTCAGTTTGAACTCAAACCGACACTGAAGAATTATCTATTAAAAAAAAACAAAAAAACAAAAAAACAAAAAAAAAAACATCGAAATCGGATGAAAACTGCGGAAACGCATAAACAACATCCGATCACACACACACACACACACACACACACACACACACACACACACACACACACACACACACACACACACACACACACACATTGTGAGAATTATAGATATAGATAAAACATATAAGTATTTTGTTATATCTTAAGTGCATCTATTTATATACCTAAATATGCAACTATTTTCATACATCAAAAGTACAACTATTTTGATGTATAAAATGCAACTATTATTGTTTTTTTTTTTTTTATCGCAGTGCATAGTTTCTCCGATTATTATGCAACATGGATCAGAAGATGAAAAATGAAAGTAGATTTATTTGCATTATTCGGACTGTTGTCCTCATCTTAATCGCCATATTCACAACGTTTCGGTCGTTGTACGCTCCGGTCTTCTTCAGGTGACTAGAATTTCGAACTGAACCTTTTATTTTGTCCACCGGAGTAGATTGTTCTAGTTCCACGTGCCGGATGTCTCAGTTATTTCCCTTTAACTCAGCTCTTCAAGTTTTATCCAGTGGATAAAGGCGTTGGTTAGATCCAGTGACTAAACCCAAAGAGTTGTGAGTTCAATGCCAGGCTACAGCAGTGGTGAACCCAAAAACTTGCAGTGTTAAGTTAAAGGGAAATAACTGAGACATCCGGAAGAGTCATGGCACGTGGAAATAGAACAATCTACCCTGGTGGACGAAATAATAGGTTCGGTTCGAAATTTCAATCACCTTAAGAAGCCCGGCCGGAGCGTACAACGGCCGAAACGTTGTGAATATGGCAATGAAGATGAACATAACAGTCCGAATAATGTAAATAATCATAATGCATCTCAGAGATATAGACAGATATTGAAAGTAGATTTACTGGTCGTTTAAGTGAAAACGTGTCTTATATGTACGACACCTGACAACTTAGGTGTCGTACATATAAGACACGCTTTGCCCATCGGAAAGCCATAAATCGACTGTATTCATATTTATTCAGATAAGCACATTTTGTCTCCGACCTTTTCTCCCAGTCTTATTGTTTGTTTACACGTTAATATTGGCTTGGTGAATAATTATCAGGCGTTTTTGTAGGCGAGTTATTTGTTAATAAAAATTGCTGTTTCGTTTCCTTTTTTTTTTAATAAAAATATCTTATTATCAGGTTATAAAAATGCGTGTCAATAATCATACGCTCCGGAATAATCATTTAAAATGTTATTGTTGAATTGTTATGTTTCTTTTTTCATAATAAATATTGTTTAAAAAACGCCTGATAATTATATACCAACTTAATAGTAAAAACTTAATAGCATTAAGTTGTCTAAATTCATTCAATTAAATCAATTTTAAAAAAAATAGTTTCTCTTTCAATTGTATTTTTTACCATTTTTTATTACAATGTCCCAGTGGTTTGGCATTTTAAGACGGTTAAGTAAACTGCTTTGATCTGAAACAGAAAATTATCTGCTGATGAGATTTGAACCGTGATTACGTTTGACACCGAAAACCCCTTTACTGATTTGGCCATAGTGACTAAGGTGTTCTGACGCATTTACAAAATCTATATTTTCACATGAAAATAAACTTTAACACGCTCTTTAAGTCGTAATTTATTTATTTTAATCGTAAAAACAATGTAAATTTCTAATTATTTTAAAGTTGCCCCTTTTTTTCTATTTCTTATTTTATTTTATCGTTTTATTTTATTTTATTTTTTCTTTACTAAAAGTAATTATCAGCTGGGTAGATGGAACTTGAAAAAAAAAGTAGAAAAAATGTAAAAAAGAAAACAAAACGGAAAACACATAATTACCTTCCGTGTATTCGACGAGTATCCACATAAAAAAGAAAAAGTAAAAAAGCCCGCGTAAACAACTTAAATAGAACTCACACCATTGCGATTGGCTGTTGGTCAACTTCCAATCAAATGCGTGACAAGAGGGGTAGGGTTTACCTATAATATAAGTCAGTATCTGCAGGCTGTTAATTTAGATGGGGGGGGGCATCAGGGATTGATCAGCTCTGATGGGGTCGATTTGGTGAGGGGGAGTATGATGTTTGAAAGACTCGAAACTGCCCAATGACCCAATTCAGAACATCACTGACGACGCCCTCTTACGCTAAAGAGCGTATATTCAAAGTGTAAAACAATATAGACATTTAAGGAAGCAATCACAAATAAAAACAAGTGGAACTACTTAAGTTCACTGGTCCGTTTGTAAAATGGAGGGAAATTTAGTGGGGGCGGTTATAATTTTTGAAGATTCATTCGACTTTTGTCAAGCCACGACATATGACAGAATCGAAAAATATACACTTTTTTATCATTATAGCCGTGGGGGTCATGTTTATAATATAATATAATATAATATACAGTGTCAAATCGATCCCTGAACTCTTAAAAAGTTATCTGCATATTATTTCTAGGGTCATTGATAAACGAGTCCTACTGATCTCCTTTTCCCCAAGTCGTAATCGTACGCAGTTATCAATGACGTTTAGTACGCTTTCAAACTTGGCATCTGTAAATAAAAACAAAAATGCCAATCAGCAAAAAACTGTTTTAAAAATAATTATTTCCTAATTTTTACGAGCGGACCAAGCAAGTAGATTTTAGTTGATAAAAACGTTAAAGATAATTTCAATATGGTGGAACATTATGATTCAGTTGCTGAAGCTATTGTTTGCTGCCTATTATTTTCTCGTTGTAAAGAAAGAGGATTATTTTAAAATCTAAAAATAAAGTCACAACGAAAATATATAAAGATGTAAATTTGAATGCCCTGTAGAAAAGAAACACAAAATACACAAAGAAAATAAGGAAGAAAACAGAAACGAAACCATCGTCTTGTAGATGTAATTTCAGGAAGAATATGGGAATATTCTAATAATAAATCCGAAAGCTAAGATTCTCAAAAATTTCCAAATAAGAAGTGAATACAAACAACAATAAAGGGGATTAAAATAAAAAAAGGAGAAATTTCTGCTCGCGCCCAAATAACCATTTTTCATTTTTTTTTTTGCTCTCGTTCTAAAATTGAATATATTCTTATAGAATTAACAGGTATGCAGATTATTAATTTGTTTTAAATTATAATTTGGCGAACCAGTGTTTTTCTTAAGAATAGTGTATCTATCTATCTATCTATCTATCTATCTATCTATCTATCTATCTATCTATTACATTCTCTTCTTTATCTATCTATCTATCTATCTATCTATCTATCTATCTATCTATCTATCAGAATGGATGACTTGTCAGCTACTCATAGATGAGTTAACTTAAAACTCTGTTGATCTTTGGGAAATAATTAAATATAACATTCATATGGTTAAACGACATAGCAAAATCAAATTGTTATAAAAAATATATTTTATTTTCTCACCTATTATCTAGATGATTATATATGTGTGTCTATGTGTGTGTGTTTGTGCGTGTGTATGTAAAGGTGTGTGTGTATATGTAGCGTATGTCTTACCATCATGTGAGAAGTATTTGTTGAGGTGTTTCTGTTGCACAATATAATATATATATATATATATATATATATATATATATATATATATATATATATATATATATATATATATATATATATATAACAGTGGACATTGAATTTAACACCTAGAAGTGGCAGTCTGTTTCATGCTAAACGAAATCATCAGGCCATGAAACAGACTGTCGCCTCTTGGTCTTGACTATAATATCCACTTTTATATTTACACTTTAACCCATAAATATAACATACAATAAACTATATATATATATATATATATATATATATATATATATATATATATATGACGCCGACTGAAATGTGTAACTACGTGTCCTTCCAGAAAAGTGATAAAATTTTTCTTGTTCCTAATATTAATTTATTTGGCAATGACTAAGTAGAAATTTATCAGAGATAAAGGTTTGTTTTCGTGTCGTGTCACATAACGAACATCTTTTGTATAATGTCACATGTCCGGAAATTGTATTAGTAAATCATTTTACGGGGAAATTTGGTACTTTTGAGGAAACTGTACATGAAAGTTAACTAATGAACCACTTTAGTACAAGATGTTGCGCCTTTATTCAAACTGGACGTAAAAAGTACTAACAAATCCATTTACGCCAAAAATTTGTAACTCTAGTAAAAGTGAATCACAAAATTAATTTAATGCCATTATTTTGAGCATGTAATGTACTGTCAAATCGATTTAGGGATAGATTTTATGTATGTAGTTAAAATATATGTAAAAGTGCATTTGGGATCATATTTTTTGCCACTTTTGGAATCGTAGGTAGAAGTTAATTACTAAAATCGATTTAAGGGTAAAGTATCGAGCTTCAGGTGAAGATGATCATGAAAGTCAAATAACAAACTTGTGTTGCAACCGCCCCCCCCACCTCAGTTGTACTTGTTTCTGTAGAAGGTGTCTTCAGATGTCTGGACATTGTTCAATCTAATTCTATAACGTCACCAAATATTTATTTGAATTGCATATATGTTTTCTAGAAGTTTTGGTCTCATGATAAGAAGAAAAGAATACTTTTATTTTATTTTTGTTTTCTGATAAATATTGTTATTTTTTAACAACAGTTACTTCCACGGGCCATTCTGTTTTGTCATTAAGGTATCTAATTAAATATGGTATCTAATTAGCAGCTCAAAGTTTGACAGTTGCATTCGATGGCAGTTCTCTTGGTAAAGATATTTCACATGTGGTTGTCGTTTTCTGCGGTGCAGTTTGTTGCAGTAAAATGTCGTTTGGTGGTAAATAATTTTTTTTTGTAAAAATCAAAATTAGGCAAAAGGCGTTTTTCTTTAACTTAAGTCTTTAACGTTAATAAAATCTAAATAAAACGCTGGTTAATAATAAATAAATTTTCTCAGGAGAATAAAGATCATTCAATTTTTTTCTTTGTTTCACTTGCGAAAACCGATGATATTTGCGGAAAAAAAATGATATCTTATAAAAAAAATTGAAACTGTGAAATAAACTGACTTTCTTTGATAAATTTTAGTTTTATTTGACAAACTATGCTATTGAAATTTGTTATCTAAGAAGGAAAAGCTATCTTTGAAAATTTATAAATTTTGTCAAACATTTAAAAACTTCAGAAATGTTTCAAGATTCTTTTGGGGATTTTTCAAACTTGTCATCGCACCTGAAACATCATTGAATAACAAAGATGTCTCAGCAATTGAAAAATAAAAGAGTTTTATAATAATAATAATAATAATAATGATAATAATAATAATAATAATAATTTCCCGCTGTAATATTAATAAACTTTCTTGTTAAGGATACGGATGAACTAGACATATATGGAGTCTCTTTACGACGTAATAACCAGATCCTTTCCCAGTGGAAATAAGCTGCTTTCAAAGCATCTCATAACTGCTTGAAGATGTTTTAAACATTTATTCGATAATGACAGTTATTTGTAATTATACGTTTATTCGGAAAAGTAAACTGTGGAATACTTGCAATCAGCAATCAACATTCAGAATCCCTAAAATGCTTAATATATATACATATATATTTTTGAATGGATTTTTTTTTAATCCAACTTTATTTCTTATTACAATAAACTTTATAAATATATATAAATACGTGTACTCACAAAATGACGTAGATACTAAAGATATATATATATATATATATATATATATATATATATATATATATATATATATATATATATATATATATGAACATAATAAAATAGGCAGCATATATTTTATATTACAAAGAGTCAATCATACCTTGAATCAATTAGCAATATTAATGCAATTATTGGCGAAATCCCTTCGCTAATAGACATAATTATAATCATTCTACTACTAATAATCCACTGAATTATGAAATCCTTATGTATAAAATGGATATGGTGTATTTTTTAATTCAACTAGTACTTTTGTGGATTTAAATTCGTGGATTTACCAAATTACAAAATTAATAAAAATTCTCTCTTGAAATATTTGAACTGAAATCAAGTGTATTGGAAATATATTGGTGGGGAATTAAAGGAAATATATATGTATTCCGCTTGAAATGAAGCAAAAGGAATTTTTTAGTATGAATACAACGGAACATAATTTCCGATATCTGGTTTAATTTTTTTTTGTGGTGGGGGTCTGGAAATGTTATTATAGCTAACAAACCTTTCAGATGTTGCTATGATTATTGTCAGGATCAGCTTTTTTAAAAAAATTCCATTTTGCAATCGGATCTTTTTTTATTTATCTCCTTTGTATTCCACCCATGGTTGGCTAGTTTACTAGAATTTCTAAAGCTTTCTAGCTTAAAAGATGATTTATGATTGTACCACCTCTTTTTAAAGTTACACTATGTATATTTTTTCTGGCCATTTGTACCTATTACTTCTGCATTGCCTAGAATAAGCGGTTGAATAGCTTATTTAGAAATTGGGTAATTATAAGGGACTATTATTCGAGAGAAGCGCATACTTGTGAAGCAACTTTAACACTTAAAATGTAGTGATAAATCAATGTTCACGAATACGTATTAGTCTTTCAAAAATATTATGATTCTTAAATACTTGCATCAAATGGACAGACGCAATGAATGAAAAAGAACGATATGTAGGATCTCACAACCGATGACAGGAACATTACTTGAAATTCCAAAAGAAATCAATGAACCTTTGTAAAAATATGAGGCCGTGCAAAATCAAAAACAGATTTTCTCTATTATTCGTGCAAGTGCTTATTCGAGGAATTATGATATATATATATATATATATATATATTGGTTGGGGGTAATTCTGTCGTACAAGTTTTCTATATTAAAAATACGAGCATCCGAATTCCCAAAGAGTAACAAAATAAAAATAAAGAAAACATGGGTATGTCTGTTAGATAAATCATTTGTATTTACAAATGTATATACATGAATTCAAAAGATTAAATAAGGAGTAAAAATAGTCTTTTAGTTAAAAGCTTTGGCCAGTTAGTTCCCCCAAAAATCTGTAGCTTAGAAAATATTTTTCAATAGTTTTTCCACAGAAAAAAAATCTGTGGTTTAAAAAAACTTTTGGACTGTGTATTGAGCAGCCTCCAGCCCAAATATGAGAACAACACCGGGTGTAACACTAAAATTTTCCAAATCGCGTAACGGCAAAATCTTCCAATTGTTAGATTAAGCTCTGAACCGTTGTATCTTAGAAATGATTAAAGGCATCTTACTGGAATTCTCTGACGTTTTTATAACTCTATTGGACTCTACTTTGAGCAATAAGAATGTATTATTCCTCTCTAAGCTTAGCAGAAGTATCGTGATGAAATCGATCATGAACAAAAATGGCATGTTCATCATTAATTAATCATAGCTTAGGATCGGAAGCTCATTAATTATTGAAATAAAGTTCATATATATATATATATATATATATATATATATATATATATATATATATATATATATATCCAGGATTGTTTTCCAACTTATTCAAGATGATCTTCGTTCTAACTTTCTGTCTTGGAGCAATAATGTGCCTTACAGGTTTCACGTACGATTTAATTTTCAAGTTTTCTTTTCACTGCTCTTTGTACTGTCATAGCTGAAACTCCTCTCTCACGTGCCAAACATCTTATGAATTAAGTTGGATCTTTTCTAATTCATCTCTTTAGCTCTAAGTTGAAATGATGATCTACCTTCCAGTTGTGATCTTCCGATCCAGTTTTCTTCTCTACTCGTCCTTCTTTTCTTTAAAAAACTTATTCACCGTTCTCTTGATGGTTCTTGAATGGACTTTGAAGATAGAAGCCAGAGTATGAATGTTGGTATCATTACTGAAGGCCTGTGTGATCTTTTTTCTCTCACCATTGCTCAGTCATCGAAACTGCAATCCACCGAAATAAGAAAAGAAACCAGTCCCCATCGCGGGCCATTTAAAAGATAGTTCGCGCAGCGGATTGGTTGTTTCAAACATCCAATCGAATGTGCGGAATATGTGGTCTTTCTTCCTCTTATTCTTTAAAAAGGCCAGAGTAGCTGTTGGCGTTTAAGTGGAAGGGGGAATCAGGGGTTGATCTTCCCTGATTGGGTCGATTTGGTGATGGGGACTATGATGTTGAAAGACTCGAAACTCCCTGATGAACCAAATCAAAACATCACTGACGACCCCCTTGGGCGCCTACTTAAAAGCGTATTTTCGAATTATTCGAGTTAGTTGGGAAGACAGTGGGACTGACAGAAAACGATTTTAACCTGATCTCTTTTTAGGTGAATATCTCAAAGGGTTTTTCAGTGATTCTTACGAAAAATTGTGTCAAGATGGCTAAACGTCTTGTCTGAAAACCTGGGGAAAAGAAACTCAATTAGTTTAGTGGGTTTTTAGATATTAAACATTTTGTGGGATGGACAATTCTTCTGTTACACAATTTTACTCTTAGACTCGGTATACCATTTTTGACCTAATCTAACTCTTCTAAAGACAAAACTCGGCATATGGAGTGAGATACTTCATGTGGCGGTACAGTGAGCCGACCATTTTTTAAGTTCTGTTAGCAATGGCTTGTATGCATGAGTTCCGTTTAAGGTTTAGATTGAATTTTACCCCCAATCGATATTCAAAGCATGGAGACTCTTTGAGAGCGCAACTGCAGCTAGATACACTTCGGGGTTTGAACGGTGGGGATGAATCAATATGAGCTTGGTTTTTGAGGTATTGGAATTAACAAGCCAATTATTTCCCCATTGAGCTGTAACAGGTAGGTCCTATGAGAGATCGACTGTATGGCTACGATCATTTTGGATTTTGGTAGTACTTTCAGTTGTATTGTCTGCATAGATTTTTACTAATAATCTGAGAATTTTCCTTGGTCGATCGTTAATAAAAAATAACAAAAACAAACAGTAAGAGCGAGGAGAAAGCGTTGGTGTATACCTGCACTGATCTCGTTAGCTTTGGAAAACTGGCAATTGGCAACAACTTTCATGGACCTTACCTGTGAGAAAGGACTTGTTGATTGCTTAAACTCTTCTAAAGATTCCAATCTTAATTCTTGTTCTTTTATTCTTCTCTATCTTTCATTGCGTTGCTTGGGGTGAAATGATTAATATATATATATATATATATATATATATATATATGGAAAAGATTATAGTTGTTCCAACGAGAGAAAAATGTATATTTTAAAAAAGAGAGAAACCGCAAGCTGTTTGGTTATAATGTGGATGTTCATATATATATATATATCGTATTTTTATATACACATATACATACACCCCCACGCACTTAAAAATTTATTCATTTTATTTGCTTGAAGGAGGTCACGAGACCGGAAACAGGTGTAGTAGTAATATGAAGAATAAAATATAACATATATACTAAAACAAATCCACACTATAACCAAAAACGTTTGCGGTTTCTCTCTCTTTCTCTCTCTCTCTCTCTCTCTCTCTCTCTCTCTCTCTCTCTATATATATATATATATATATATATATATATATATGAGTGAAATTAAATGTTTCTCTACAGGAAATATTCGTCATTCATTACTGAATAATTAGTATCAGTACAGGTTGAAATTTTTAAAATAGTTTCCTTTAAAACTTTTTTCGGGAAATAGATTTCTCAAGTCCACTAAATGTTATTGCTCTTTCTAGTACTGATGGATCTTTCCTCCCAAATCTGTGTAGAAAATCAAAATCTTGATTATATAATCATTTTCCCTTCTAGTTACACATGCTGTCGATTTTAGTTGTTGGAAGTTTTCAAGTGATGTGGTTTCTGATATCTGGTAAAGATTTTCTTTGTGATTCTGTAGCGCCAATCCATAAGGACTAATGAAAGATTGCCTTCTTTAAGAGTTAGATGATTAATTTGCTCTGAAAAGGAAAAAGAAGGTTTGTATATCGTTGATAGTTTAGAGAAACTTCTGATCAAGATGGACGTCATATATGTGAGTATGAATACCTGTTTCTGTGTGTTTACGAGTAGGTATAAAAAGTTACCGGCTAAATAAAAAAGGGATTATAAAAAAAATAGTTGGTGTTTGGTCAATTGCTCAGATTTTGGGAAATGTGTCGGACCGAAAACAAGCACCTCCTTGTATAATTTAAAATTCTCATCTTAATCATTGCTACACTATATGGCCACTTCGACATGGTCTTATGGTTAGCAAGCTTTTCTCGTTAGATAAATAATGACTGAATAGTGATTTCAATGCTCAGTGGGTGCTCCATACTTTCGACCTTGTGTCACATCTAAGCTAATCTTAGAAAACCACCATTGCTACGCTACATGTTTCTGCTGCATATTCCCATACTTAGATGCCTACATCCAATTTATCCATTTCTGCACATGCCCGCATATCTCAGAATGAGTTAGGCTATCGTTTCTGACTTGCTAATATTTGCCTATTAAAAACCATTAAGTCCAATCGACTTCTTTTTTAAAAAACTTTCTCCGTTCACTTACCCAAGCCAAAGACGGCAGCTGACGCTAGTTCCACGCTCGTCTCAACGAATCCATCCATCTTAAATGCGAACATGTTCTCTGTCGGCCATCAAGTGATGTCTTGATGTTTCTTTGCTATTATTTAAGTCCTACCAGCGAGTGGTGACACTGACAGTAATGACAGCTGCGAATCGTTTGCATCCAAACTCACACTCCCTCCCCAACTCTATACTCCTCAGACGTTTTTCGTCCCACCCTCTCTTGGTACCCAGAATTCTATTTCTTCTTCCTCATCTTTAACATTCTGACTGTTCGCTACCACTTTCCCGTCAAACATTATCTCCAACCCGGCCCCTAAGCCTTCCATACCCAGTCACACAACCACACAGAGATGCAGAGAGCGCATAGAGGCACGTAGGAACGCCACTCTGCGCACGCACACGTACTGACTGCTTACTTTATTTTATTTTTCGATTTTGACTGTCTTTCTTACTTTCATCTGTTTTTGGTTTTTCCTTTCTTTCGATTTTGTTTTTATTATTATTATTATTATTATTATTATTATTATTATTATTATTATTATTATTATTATTTTGCTTGTGTTTTTCACTTCCGTTTCCTGTTATCACTTCTTTCTTGTCTTCATTTTTGCATTGCGTTTGATCTTTTTTGGTTTTTACTATTGATTCTGTATCTTCTCGCTTTTCTTTCTTTCTTTCTTTCTTTCTTTATTTCTTTCTTTCTTTCTTTATTTCTTTCTTTCTTTCTTTCTTTCTTTCTTTATTTCTTTCTTTCTTTCTGTTTCTATTTGCATTTATTTGTTTCCTTATATATTTTTCTTCCAGTTTTCTTTTCATCACTCTCCTTTCTTTTTTATTTTTCTCTTTCTTTCTTTCTTTCTTTCTTTCTTTCTTTCTTTCTTTCTTTCTTTCTTTCTTTCTTTCTGTTTCTATTTGCATTTATTTGTTTCCTTATATATTTTTCTTCCAGTTTTCTTTTCATCACTCTCCTTTCTTTTTTTATTTTTCTCTTTCTTTCTTTTTATATTTCTTTCATTTTTCTTATTTCGTTCATGTTTCTTATTTCCTGTTCATTTCTTCCTTCTTTCCTTTCTTCCTTCCTTTCTTTCTTTCTTTCTTTCTTTCTTTCTTTCTTTCTTTCTTTCTTTCTTTCTTTCTTTCTTTCTGTTTCTGTTTGCATTATTTGTTTTCTTATATATTTTTCTTCCAGTTTTCTTTTCATCACTCTCCTTTCTTTTTTATTTTTCTCTTTCTTTCTTTCTTTTTCTTTCTTTCTTTCTTTTTCTTTCTTTCTTTCTTTTCATATTTCGCTCACTTTTCTTATTTCCTGTTCATTTCTTTCTTTCTTTCTTTTCACATTTCACTCATCTTTATTTCCTGTTCATTTCTTTCTTCCTTTTCATATCTCGCTACATCTTCCTTCCTTCCTTCCTTCCTTTTCATTTTTCGTCCCCTTTTTCTTATCGCCTATTCCCCACTTCTTCTCTCCTTCCTTTTCACTCCCTTTATCTTTCTATTTGCATTTACTTGTCTCCTTCTGTCCTTTTCTCTTTGTCTTCATCTCTTCTTCTTTTGCCAATGCCAAACTTACTTCCAAATGCATGTGTTCGATTGACAAAGAAGAAAGATGTTAA